TTATTTGAAAGGCAAAGTAACAAAGATAAAGGGAGAAACAAAGAGAGATATCTTCCATCTGCTAGTCCACTTCCCAAATGCATTTACTATATTACCCTAATCTAGTTACAGGAAATATTATAATTTCCACTTAAAATCAACATAAAAATTATCAATGAGATTTATTATAAATAAATCTTGAAATCCTCTGCATACGTTATATTTATAGTACATCTTAATTCAAGCACTATTTTTTAAAAAAATCAGAAATATTTTATCTGTATTTAGATTACAAAATATTTACAGTACAATATTGCTTTGTTACATAACCCAGCAATCCCAAAAAACAAGAAGCCATTATATCAGAGATTCTTTTTCCACAATGTTCATTGCTGCATTAGTTACAATAACTAAGACATGGAATCAATGAAGGTGTCCCTTACCAAATTCATGGATAAAGAAAATATGGTGTATACATACAATGGAATATTATTGAGCCCTAAACAAGAATGAAATCTTGTCTTTTGCAACCAAATGTATGGAAGTGGAGAACATCATGTTAAGAAAATAGCCATCTCACTGTCCACTCTGCCTGTCAAAAAAAAAAAAAAAAAGAAAGAAAGAAAGAAAATAGCTAAAGAATAAATCTTTAAAAAGGGGGGAGCAGCACTGTGGCGCAGCAGGTTAAAGCCCTGGCCTGAAGCGCCGGCATCCCATATGGGTGCCAGTTTTAGTCCCGGCTGCTCCTCTTCTGATCCAGCTCTCTGTTGTGGCCTGAGAAAGCACTGGGAGACCCAGAGGAAGCTCCTGGCTCCTGGCTTCAGATCAGTGCAACTCCGGCCTTTGTGGCCATCTGGGGAGTGAACCAGCAGATGGAAGACCTCTCTCTCTGTCTTTACCTCTCTCTGTAACTCTGTCTTTCAAATAAATAAAATAAATCTTTAAAAAAGAAAAAGAAAGTAGCCAAACACAGAAAAACAAATACTACATGTTCTCATATGTAGATACTAAAAATAATCTGAACATAGAATAGTGATTACTAGAGGTTGGGAGTGGGGGTAAGAATACAGGGAGTTTGGATAGCTAGTATCAAATCAGAGTTTAGCTAGAAGGAGTAAGTTCCTGGTGTTCCATACATCATGAGTGACTATAGTTCAGAATAACTTATCTATTTTATGAGCTAGTGGAGAAGAAGATCTCCAGGGTTCAAATCACAAAGTAATGTTGATTATCTTGGTTTGGTCAGTACACATTGTGAATGTGTACTTTTTTAATGATTTACTTATTTGAAAGATAAAGTTACAGAGACAGATGTTCCATCCACTGGTTCACTCCCCAAATGGCCACAATTGCCGGAGCTGGGCTCATCCAAAGCCAGGACCCAGGAGCTTCTTTCAGATCTCCCACATGGGTGCAGGGACCCAAGTACTTGAGACTTGAACTGGCATGTAGGTGGGATGCCAAAGCCACAGGCAGCAGCTTTACCTGCTATGCCACAGTGCAGTCCCCTTGTATACATGTACTGAAATGTTACACTGTGACCTATAAATATGTGCAATTATTAATAAAAACGTTTTGAATTTATAGTTTAGGGGCCAGCGCTTTGGGATAGCAGGTAAAGCCGCCGCCTGAAGCATTGGCATCCCATATGGGTGCCAGTTCAAGTCTCAGGTGCTCCACTTCTGATCCAGCTCTCTGCTACGGCCTGGGAAAGCAGTAGAAGATGGCCCAAGTCCTTGGGCCCCTACACCTGCATGGGAGACCCAGAAGAAGCTCCTGGCTCCTGACTTCAGATCAGCGCAGCTCTGGCCATTGCAGCCAATTGGATGCAACCAGTGGATGGAAGACCTCTGTCTCTCTGACTCTCCTCTCTCTGTTTAACTCTGACTTTCAAATAAATAAATAAATCTTTAAAAATAAATAAATAAATTTATAGTTCAAAAAGTACATTTATATAACACAAGTTTTCCAAAATACTTAGAAGTTACTTAGTAACCCAGTCAAGTGTCAGTTTTTCAATTTTAAGTAAAATTAAATACTATTAGAGTTCAGTTATATAGTTGTACAAGCCACGCTTGAAGTACTCATCTGGTCATCACAGTTGAACAGTACAGTTCTAGAATAAGTGCATGAGTACCTCTGGGTCAAAGCTCTAGTCTGAAATTAATATTACCAAAGTTCAAATCAGTGAACAGAATACCAGATTGGTAACGGGGAACTAATACTATTTGGCATTTTGGATTACCCTCAATCTTTACCTTGTTGGTCCACATCCACTTAGATAAGATACAGCTGAGAAGAACCAGAGCAAATATTTGGAAAAGATCCTGCAATAATCAAGGAGACTAAGGTTAAACAGAGGAAGCTTAGAGTTAGACATAATAGCACTGACTTCTTAGTACTGACTCATTCTAGACTTTATCCTTATTACTTAAGTAACAGATTCAATGGTGGACAGACTCAGAGATGGGACAAAGAAAAAGTGATTATAATTGGGACAGATAATTCTCTTACTTTCTTACCATACACAACTAAAAATATCATCCACTAACAAATCGTAAAATAATAAAATACAAATTCTCTATTTTTTCCAAAACAACAAGGTTTCTTTTGTTCTACTTAAGCAGAAGTGTAGACATGCTTTATAAGTACAATTCTGTAAAATTATATCGATCATTACATTTCAAAGCATATATTTCATAAAAAGTTGCTATTTTATGAGAGGAACTTCCTCCGGGAATACCTAGCAAGGATTTATCATTTACTGAGAATATTCTGTCACCACCTAATTTTTGAGTGTGTATTATATTCTAACACTGTACTGGGCAAAGAAATTACAACAGTTAACAAGGAAAATCTCACCCACTTGGAACATGTAAGAGCTGTTAGAGAAAGGATGGAGGTTTTGATAGGAGCTTATTAGAGTAGGATTTCCAGGGGGCCGGCATCGTGGCACAGTAGATTAATCCTCTGCCTGCCATGCCAGCATCCCATATTGGCGCCAGTTCTAGTCATGGCTGCTCCTCTTCCCATCCAGCTCTTTGCTGAGGCCTGGGAAGGCAGTGGAGGATGGCTCAAGTGCTTTGGCCCCTGCACCCACATGGGAGACCAGGAAGAAGCTCCTGGCTGGTGGCTTGGGATTGGCGCAGCTCTGGCCATTGTGGCCAGCTGGGGAATGAACCAACAGAGGGAAGACCTTTCTCTCTCTCTCTTTCTCTCTCTCTCTCTCTCTCTGTAATTCTACCTCTCAAATAAATAAATATCTAAAAAAGGAAGAGTAGGATTGCCAGGTTTAACAAATATTGCATAGGACATATTCATACTGAAAGTTATTTGTTGTTTATCTGAACTTCAGATTTAACTCAGAGTCCTGTCTTTTATCTGGCTCTGGAGAGAAAATTTGGAAGCAGAGTACTTCCTTCAGAGAGCAAGTCTAAAAGGAATCTTGGACATCAGGGAAAAGGTAGGGAGAAATCTTTCTGGGTGGGAAAACAGCAATGCAAACTGCGTGCCCAAGGCCAATGTAGAGCCCAGGAACTGAAAGATGCAAAGGAATTAGGGTAAAGAAGAAGGAAGGGCAGTGACGTGGAGATGAAGTCTGAGGGAAAGCAGAGGCCTTGTCTTTCAAGGTGTCCTAAGCCTCCTGAGGACTTTGTTTTTATTATTATTATTATTATTATTATTATTAGACAGGTAGAGTTATACACAGTGAGAGAGAGAGACAGAGAGAAAGGTCTTCCTTCCGATGGTTCACCCCCAAAATGGCCGCTATGGCCAGTGTGCTGCGCTGATCCAAAGTCAGGGGCCAGGTGCTTCCTCCTGGTCTCCCATGCAGGTGTAGGGCCCCTGCACCTGGGCCATCCTCCGCTGCACTCCCGGGCCACAGCAGAGAACTGGACTGGAAGAGGAGCAACAGAGGGGACTAGAACCTGGCGCCCATGTGGGATGCCAGTGCCGCAGGCGGAGGATTAATTTAGTGAGCCACCGGCGCCGGCCCGGACTTTGTTCTTTATCACTAGATTCCACTGAACTTTCAACAATGTATTTTTGGTTCTAGTGTGAAGAACCAGCTACAGTTGGTCACACAGGATACTGGGAAACAAAGTTAGGAGATGACTGGTGTAATTCATGGGGGAGAAGGGAGAGGCCTGAGCAGAGGCAGTGGAAAGATCCATTAGCAACGCCTGAACAGGAGATGGCAAAGAGGGTAACACAGGACTAAGATTCAAGAAAACCAAGAAAAGCACATATCTAGGGAAACACTGAAGAAACGGCCAGTAAATCTAACGGCTTTTTTCTTTTCTTTTTTTGAGGAGTTGTTTAATAAGAAGTGACTCCTAGATGTGGTCATAAGGAAGTCACCGGTGACCTTTGGCAAGGACAATCTCAGAAGAACGGTTGGGGCCAAACGAGGTCGCAGTTGGTTGAGCAGCAAGTGATGCTAGCCTAGGGAGCGGCTGGAGCAACACGAGCCTCCCACTGACTCTCTGCCTTTACAGGTGAGGGTCAAGGACAGGCGAAGAGTAGGAGATGGAGCTGCCAGTGCCCCAATCAGGCGGAAAAGCGCAGCAAGCTCATCGCCAGGGGCCAATCTTTTCCTAAAGCGCACCTGACTGACAGAGCCGCGCGCCAAAGACTAGCGCACAGCGACAGGCGAATCGCGAGGGGGGCGGCATCCAGGGCACTAACCCGGAACCGGTTTGGGACTCGATTCCCATTGTGAGGCCAGGCCTGGGGCGGGCTCCCAGCCAGAATGGCAATGCCATTTGGCCCAATGCATAAGCCGCATCAAGTGAGCGGCAGCTACTTGAGCCAATGCGTGACAGCAGAGGGGGCGGGCAAAGTTAGTGGGCGGGGAATCGTTGAAGCATCTTTTTTTCTAACCCCCCTTAGGGGCGATCTTGCGGAGGTGCCGCCGGGGCTGCAGGTGAGCGGATCTGTGTGGGAGGAAGCCGCCAGAAGCGACGGGTCTGCGGACGGTGGGTGCTCTCGCAGCGGGGAAGGTCCCGGCGAGGTTAGCGGCAGGTGGCTCGCGTCACCGCTGCGGGCTTTGGCGCTGGCTTTGCGGCGTAGCGGGACTACGTCTCTCGGGAGAAGTACCACAGGCGACTGTCGCCTGACTGGGGAGGTGACGAGGCCCCACGCCGCTGAAACAACACTGTGGAAGTTTCTGGGCACTTAGGACTCTCGTTAAATATCCCGAGAGCGGAATCTCTCCCCAGTTTGCCCCGACTTTCCCCACAGCACCCTCTTCGCTGGGAACGAGTCAGGTGCGCGCCCGTGGCCTCCCGGGAATCTCGTCTTTGCTGCTTCCATGGGAGTGGGCGACGCGAGGGAAGCGGCGGGGAGGGCGTGAAAGGTGCTTTGGTAACTGGCAGCCCTTCGTAAACTTTAGTTATTTGCCTGCCGCAAGTTTTCGAGTAGCCTATTTGGCAGGGAAGTGAATTTCCTGTGGGAATGTGGGGGAGGGGCAACTTCACTTTAAAGAAGGTGGGGCGGGGGGAGTTGGCAGATTTGTGAAAACTTTTCTCTCCGAGCTACTTTAAATCCCCACCCCCCTTTCCGCCCCAATTTACTGCCTGATTTTTCTCAGCTGGCTTAATTTTAGTAACCCATGGGGTATCGAGGAACTTTGTTCTCAGATGTTAGTCCTTGTAAAAAACCGCAGGCTTATACGCTATTGGCAGTAAATCTTCACAAAGGATTCTGAAAGGAGACCACATATCTTTCCTATTTCCAACTGGTGCAGAACGTTTTTGAGATGGGATTTAAGGAAAATGGCTGTTTTCTTTGATTGGGTATGGATGGTGTCTAAGGTGTAGGTATTTCAGTTATTAATTACCTCCTGTAAAGACAGGGACAGCAAGCAGTATAAAAAGGATAGCATATGACATCTACATTTCATGAGGGGCTGTATCCCCAGCACCAAGACTAGTGCTTGGTACATTGTAGAAGTTCAGTAAATATTGTTTTGAAACAATTATTGGGGAATGAACAGCATAGGTACACTGGTATATATGACATGGTTGCATAGGTAACAAAATATAGAGGAAGCAGAGAAAGGCAACATTCTTGGAAACATAGCTCTTCTCTGTGTAAGCATAGCTACCAAATTTTGGTAATTCAAGATGCATTGGCTCTGGGGCTTTCTTGCACTTAATCAAAAAATGTCAAGTTTTCAGTCCAAGGTTTTCACATAAATAAGCCAAGATCTCTTAAGATGGACCTCCGTCTCATTTTCATTGAGGTTAAAAATGCTGAAGTGCATATAGATCAGTTAGGGACAAAGGGATAATACTTTGTAAGGTAGAGGTATGGAGTTGTTGGAGGAAAAATGGGTTTTGCCAACAGCAAAAACAACTTCCAGACTTGACAAACATATCGACTCAGTGGTAGATTTTAAAGGACCACTGTTTCTGCCATGTACCAATAAATTTACAACCCTCTAATTAGTAAATTGATCTCAGATTCCAAGAATGTCAAGATCTGATGGTGGTATCTACATAAGTTAGGATTATCTGACAACTTCAAGTATTTTTATTATATGCTTATATTTTGTTTATATACTAGAGTTTATATTGTAATAGTGCCTCCATATGAAAGAGTAACCTGCTTGAATTTCAAAAATGTGTAAACTGTCACAGATACTTGTTTCTTTCAGCACATTTTCACAAAGTATAGCTAATAATTCCTATTTTTCAGCTTTAATTCTTAACGCTTCTTCCCTTTATTTCTGTCCCTCATTAGTTTACTTGTTTTATTTTTTTTTTAAAGATTTATTTATTTATTTGAAAGAGTAACACAGACGGAAGGAGAGGCAGGAAGACAGAGAGGTCTTCCATCTGCTAGTTCACTCCCCAATTGGCTGCAACGACCGGAACTGTACCAATCTGAAACCAGGAGCTTCTTCTGGGTCTCCCATACCAGTAGACTTGTGCCATTTTCTACTGCTTTCCCAAACCATAGTAGAGACCTGGGTTGGAAGTGGAGCAGCCTGGACTTTAACCGGTGCCCATATGGGATGCCAGCACTGTGGGCAGAGGTTTTACCAGCCATGCCACAGTGTCGATCCCTCAAAGTTTACTTGTTTTATAAAATGAATATCAAATGCTAATTTCTTTCCCAAACCTCCCTTGATCCCATCAAGGATTTCTCCTTCTGAAGACTCAGGATACATTGTTAATACTTCTTTCTTGTTCTTTTTAATATATTTACATTATTCATTCAGTAAAAACTTGCTATGTTCAGGTACTGTGGTAGGGAATGGATAATAACTGACATTAGTGTGAGCTTACTATTATCTTAGGCATTATAAGCTTCTTAATTGGATTATCTTGATGATTCAGTCATCATGAGTATTATTTTTATTTCCATTTACAGATGAGGAAGTAAGTTTAAAAAGTTAAGTAATTTACTTGATCATTGAGCTAGCAAGTGGTGGAAATGGCATATAAGCCTAGGTGGTCTGATCTTAGTTTACAGAGTCCATTACAATTTTTTCATGTACTTTATTTAAAAAAATGCATCTACTAGATATTAATTATTTAATACCAGAAGTAATGTATTCACCTTCGATCCCTTATTGTTTCTAATGTAAAAATAAACCATTGTTATACAGCCTAATAGTGGAAGCATATAGCAAAGACACTGGACTTAACAGTAGACATTTAAGCCTAATGCTGAAGGCCGAATAGGCATTGGCCAGATGAAAGTGCAGATACCATCAGATTTGGGGAAATGGACTAGAAGAATACATGTGTGATAGTCCTAAGGCAGAAATCATGACAGAGCTAAGTTGTCCAATAGAGTAGCCAGTAACCACATGTTGCTGTTGAGCACTTGAAATACAACTAGTCAAAATAGAGGTGTAAAATGTAAAGTATAATATATTCACCAGGGCTGGCGCCACAGCTCACTTGGCTAATCCTTCGCCTGCAGCGCCGGCACCCTGGGTTCTAGTCCCGGTTGGGGTGCCGGATTCTGTCCTGGTGGCTCCTCTTCCATTCCAGCTCTGCTGTGGCCCAGGAAAGCAGAGGAGGATGGCCCAAGTGCTTGGGCCCTGCACCCTCATGGGAGACCAGGAGGAAGCACCTGGCTCCTGGCTTAGAATTGGCATAGCCCGCCGGCAGTTGCGGCCATTTGAGGGTGAACCAACGGAAGGAAGACCTTTCTCTCTGTCTCTCTCTTTCTCACTAACTCTGCCTGTCCAAAAAAAAAAAAAAAAATCCACCAGATTTTGGAGACCATATATAAAATAAAAATGTGAAATATGTCCTTAATGTTTATATTGATTACACATTAAAATTAGAACATTTTGAGTACATTGAGTTCATTTTTACTTATTTTGCTTTACTTTTTGAATGGGGCTACTACAGGATTTAAAATTACATGCACAATTCTCATACTCCTATTTCTCTTGAATGGTGCTAATCTAGAATTTTGAGAAATTATAGAATAACTAGTAATGTTTGCACAGAGAAAAGGTAGAGTGGTGAAGTGGTGAAGTAAGTTGGAGGTTAGTGTCAAAGATGATGGATCAACTGGAAAAGGTAGATATATAGGAATATATATAGGAGTCTACAGTAGGACATATAATAGAAAGAACAGGGAGAATAAACTTCTTAAGTACAATAGAAAGTCTGTGAAATGTTTTTAAGCACTCATTACATACGAAGGTACTTTAATAGAAAATGGAATTAGATAAGCTTAGAGCAGAATGTTGGCCTAGTGGTTAAGCTACTGGTTGGGATACCAAATCCCGTATTAGAATTCTTTAATTTGATTTTTGGCTTTGCTTCTGATTCTGGCTTCTTTCTAATACTCACTGTGGGAGAGAGCAAGTGATGACTCAAATAATTGGGAGACCTGGATTGAATTGCTGACTTTGGCCTATCTTAACTCCAGTTATTGCTGGTATTTGGGCAGTGAACCAGTAGATGGTAGTCCTTTCTCTTCCCCTCTCTCCATCTCTCTCACTTCCCCTCTCGGTCTCCCCTTCTTCTCTATCCCCTCCTCTGCTACTCAATTCTTCCCCCTTCTCTCCCTCCTTTCCTTCCTTTCACATTTTTTTAAGAAGATAAGTTTATTTTGGTGCAAAATATTTTGAAATCCATGCAGATTTTTCATAATGCATTTCCAAGAACTTTTTGAAGTACCCTTGTGAAAAAAGCAATCTTAATAGTTGTTACTGATAGATATTCCTAATTCAATCCTAATTCTTTCTAATAAAGATTAGATGTTCAATAACATCATACTCTCCAGAGAGGAGTCCATTTCTTCTGGTTTTTTGTTTGTTTTGTTTTGCTCTGTGTATGTGTTTTAAGATTTATTTACTTGAGAGGCAGAGTTACAGAGAGAGAGGTAGAGACAGAGAAATCTTCCAACTGCTGATTCATTTCCCAGATGGCCACAGCGTTACCCACTATGCCATAGTGCTGGTCCCTCCATGTTTTTTTTTTTTTTTTTTTTTTAAGATTTATTTATTTATTTGAAAGAGTTACAGAGAGAAGGAGAGGCAGAGAGAGAGGCTCTCCATCCGCTGGTTCACTCCCCAGATGGCCGCAACCGTTGGAGCTGTGCTGATCTGAAGCCAGTAGCCGGGACCTTCTGGGTCTACCACATGGGTGCAGGGGCCTAAGGATTTGGGCCATCTTCCACTGCTTTCCCAGGCCATAGCAGAGAGCTGGATCGGAAGTGGAGCAGCCGGGTCTAGAACTGGCGCCCCTATGGGATGCCAGCACTGTAGGTGACGGCTTAACCCACTACACCACAACATCAGCCCCCGCTCCCCCAATCTTTTTAAGTCTAAATTGACTTAAGCTTGAATTTCTTTGATGGATTTCCAACAAATAGGAGTGAGAATTGGTCCTACAATCAGGCATATTTTTCTTGCATCTGAAATATCAATTTGTTGGGCATATTTTCCCCAAGTTCAACTACTTTTATTTGTACTATAAATTTTTTGTGGCAGATAGATGTTTTCTTAATGATCTCTGAAAGAAAATTTCTTAGCAGCTACAGTAGTTGCACTCTTTGTGCCTTTCTAAACACATTTGAGTAAGTAGACTTAAAGCATTGATTTTCCAACACAGTGACTCTCACTCCTGGCTTCAACTGAGTATTATCTGAAGAGCTTCTTAATCTCCCATTGCCTGGCCCTATTGCAAGGTTGCTTTAATTGGCCAGAGATTGGGACTAGTTATAGATTTTTCTTTAATCTCCTTAGGTGATTTCAATGCACTTTAAATCAGTACTATCTGATAGGTTATCCCCTAGATACATGTGCTATTGCGTTCCTGAAATGTAGACAGTACAAAATGAGATGTGTTGTAGCCGTAAAAATATACACTGGATTTTATAGATTTGGTGGAAAAACAGTAATGGAAAAATCAATCATTAATAATGTCTGTATTGATTTCATACAGTGGCACTTCAAAAAGTTTATAGAGAAATGGAATTAAAAGTTAAGTTTATTTTGTATAAGACTTTGGAAACTCATGCATTGTTTGTATGCATTTTCCACAGTTTCCCAATATCCCCAATGTGCATGCATTTCAAAATTTTTTCACACCAAAATAAACATCTGTTTTAATTTCATATTTCACAAATTTACGAAGTTCTGTCATATTACAATACTATTGAATATATAAAGTAAAATATAATTTGTGAAAATTCAATCGGTTTTGTTTTTACTGTGGATACTAGGAAATTTTAAATTATACATATAGGTACATTATATTTTCATTGGACAGTGCTGATCATCTCCACCTTGTTACAAACACCAGTAATATCAGCATCATCTGGGAGTTTGTCAGAAATGTAGAATCTCTGGTCTCACCCAGACTTGCTGAATCAGAATCTGTATTTAACAGGATCTCCAGGTGATTCCTCTACACGTTAGCTTGAGAGACTTTATGATAACATCTTCAGAATATTTTAATTTCATAATTTTTCATTGCAGAAGTGGGTATATTTGTATATTCACAATTTCCTGTTTCTTCATTTGTATTTTAAAATAAGTTACCCATATGGCTTTTCTGTTTTCAGTTGTCTTCATTTTTATAATTTTATCTCTGTTAATAGTTTCAAGTCACTGCTTTTTAAATTAATATGTGGGTGGTATTAGTATCTATGTAAGGCATGTAATATGTTTGTTAATACTTACATGCTATTATAAACATGATTGTTTTGGAAGGAATCCCACAAGTTTGTTCCTATTAGTTATGTTGACGGTAGAATGAGATTTTTACTTCATTTTGTACCTTTATTCGGGTTATTTAAATATGTTTGTATAGCTTTTTTTTAACTCAATAGATGGGAATAGTGAATTTATATGACTTAAAAAACTGTATTTCCCAAGCCGACACTATAGCATAGCAGGTAAAGTCACTGCTGCAACCGTGGTCTCCCATGCGGGTGCTGGTTAGACTCCCGTCGGCTTCATTTCCAATCCAGATCCCTACTAATGGCCTGGGAACGCTGCAGAAGGTGGCCCAAGTGGTTGGACCCCTGCTACCCACGTGGGAGACCCCAGTGAAGCTCCTGACTCCTGGCTTTGGTCTGGCCCAACTCTGGCTGCCGTTGCAGCCATTTGGAGAGTGAACTAGTGGATGGAAGATGAATCTCTCTTTTTCTCTCCCTCTCTCTGTCTCTCTCTCTCTCTCTTACTCTGCCTTTCAAATAAATAAAATAAATATTTAAAAAACATATTATTTCCTGTAATAAAAATCTCTCATGAGTAGATTTTTAATGTAATGTTAATCACCTTGAAGTGAAATAAAGCAAATGTGCTATGGGCTAATAGATAGCCACATGGTCTAGGCAGAAATGTCTTGTGTCTAAGCTTCCTATACCTAGTGATTGGTGGTAGACAGTAATAAGCTTGTCAAACATAGCATATTTTGGGTCTGGGTTTATTCCTAACTTGAGTGTATAGGTTACATGCCAAGACCTGCACATTTCCTTTCACACTTTTGTTGGCTGCCTTAATTTTGATATCTAAACAGGGATGATGATATGCAGTGATATAGCCATACTCTAATATGACATTTATTGCATATGTGTCATTGTTTAACTTATATAGTTATTTATCCAGTCTCCTGTTGATGAATATTTGTATTTTTACCATGCTTTTATGTTAAAAATATGATAATGGTTTTTAAGTGATTCAAAAAGTTATCTTTTTCACATTGTAGATACTTAATTTGATATGAAATTTGGTGTAACGTTAGTTTTCTGTTCTGTTTTTAGGGACATTTAACCTGCTTGTTCCATTTTTAAAAATTTTCTTTGATAACCTGCTTTTATGATTACTGTTGGTAGATTCTGCCTAAAAAACAGTATTGCCTATTTTCATAAAAACTTTTTATTAATATAAAGAGAACAGATTTTATACATTCTGTAAGTACAGTTCCAAGAACACAACCACAATTCCCTCCCCTGCTCTACTCCAACCCCCTTCCATCCTCTCCTGGCTTCATCAATTTTTGCAAAGACATAATTTTAATCCAGTGTACATTCACAGGTTTAATTTCCCACTAATCATAATATTTACCAAGTAAAAGTAGGCAGACCAGAGTACCACAGGAGTATAAACAAGGGCCAAAAATGAGTCATATTTGAAAATGGCCATTTTATTTCTATCCATTTTTTGTGTTGTATATTAACTGTCACATATCAGAGAGAATATATGTTATTTGTCTTTTGAGACTGGCTTATTTCACTAAGCATAATGGTTTCCAGTTGCATCCATTCTATTGCAAAAGATAGGATTTCATTGTTTCTTCTAGCTGAGTAGTAGTCCATAGTTTAAACACACCACATTTTCTTTATCCAGTTATCATTTCATGGACATCTTGGTTGATTCCATATCTTAGCTATTGTGAATTGAGCTGCAACTAACATGGGGGTAAAAATAACTTTCATATGCTGATTTCAATTCATTTGGTAAATTCCCAGGAGTGGGGTGGCTGGGTCATAGGGGCAGATGTATTTTCAGATTTTTCTCTAGTAATTTGATTGTATCAGAATGTAAAGTTGGGTTCATTTTGAGTTGATTTTTATATGAGGTGTAAGATAGCGTTCTTATTTCATACTTCTGCATTTGTAGATCCAGTTTTCCCATCACCAATTGTTGAAGTCTGTCCTTTTTCCAGGGAGTGATTTCAGCTCATTTGTCAAAAGATTAGTTCATCGTAGATGCGTGAATTAATTTCTTGGGTGTCTCTTCCATTGGTCTATATATCTGTTTTTCTGCCAGCTCCAGACTATTTTGATTAAAACTGTCATGTACTATGTCTTGAAGTCTGATACTGTGATGCCTCCAGCTTTGTTTCTGTGGTTTAAGATTGATTTAGCTATTCATGATCACTTGTGTTTCCATATAAATTTTAGCATTATTTTTTTGTAGCTCTGAAGAGAATGTCCTTGGTATTTTGATTAGGATCACTTCAAATCTAAATTGCTTCTGGTGGGATTGATAATTTGATAATATTAATTCTTCCAATCCATGAACATGAAAGATTCTTTTTTTTTTTTTTTTTTGGTGTCTCCTATTTATCTCTTAATGGTTTGTTGTAGAGATCTTCCACAACCTTGGTTATATTTATTCCAATGTATTTAAGGTTTTTTTGTAGCTATTGTAAATGGGACTGATCTTATAAGTTCTTTTGCAGCCATGGCATTGTCTGTGTATGTAAAGGCTGTTGATTTTTGTGTGTTGATTTTTTATCCTTCAAATTTACCAAACTCTTTTCTGAGTTACAGTAGTCTCTTAGTGGAATCCTTTGGTTCCCTTGTAAATAGAATCATGTCATCTGTAAAAAGGGACAATTTGGCTTCCTCCTTTCCAATTTGTATCCTTTGATTTCTTTTTCTTACCTAATGGCTCTGGATAAAATTTCAGGACTATATTGAATAGCAATGGTGAAAGTGGGCATCCTTGTTTGGATCTGGATCTTAGTGGAAATACTTCCAGCTTTTCACTATTCAATATGATGCTGGCTGTGTGTTAGTCATATATTGCCTTGATTATATTGAGGAATGTTCATACCCAATTTGCTGAAGATTCTCTTCATGAAAAAATGTTGTATTTTATCAGAGTTGAGCCAATCCAAAGTCAGGAACCAGGAGCTTCTTCTGGGTCTCCCATGCGGGTGCAGGGACCCAAGCCCTTGGACCATCTTCCACTGCTTTACCAGGTCATCGCACGGAGCTGGATAGGAAGAGGAGCAGTTGGGACATGAATGGGCACCCATATGGGATTCAGGCACTGCAGGAACAGCTTTGGCGCGCTACATCACAGCACCAGCCCCGGTGCCAATAATCTGTCTGATTGTGTGCATCTAAAACATCACCAAAAATGTGTCCATCCCACATCTTTTTGTTTCCAATCACTCAGGTGAAAAACAGAATCTATCATTTGCTGCTGAAATGGAGGTCAGAGAAAACAAAGTTCAAAACAGTAGAAGATGAACTCTAAAAAACTGTGCTGGCAGACAAGAGAAGTAGACAATTTTGAGCAATATTTAGAGCATTTTACATTTCTTTTCAAAATTATATAGCTTATTGGGTTGGCACATGTTACAAAAGTTGCAGGCCAATTGATTGATTTTACTTTTTTTCCCCTTTAGGAAGTAGCCACCCTGCCTCTGCTGCTAGATGATCGGAAAGTTCAGTGATTTGGACTAAGTGCCAACAAGGGATTTTCTGTCATTGGTTTTTGTGCTTGCGGCATTCCTCAGATTCTTTTCACGTCCACGTGTACTGTAAAAACTACATTCAGGTTTTAAACATGAAGCAATTGAAAAGGAAAAGGAAAAGCAATTTTAGCGTTCAAGAAACTCAGACACTTTTGAAAGAAATTACCAAAAGGAAAGAAGTCATTTTTTCTAAGCAGCTCAACACAACAATTAACGTGATGAAGCGAATGGCCTGGGAGGAGATTGCACAGTGTGTGAATGCTGTAGGAGAAGGAGAACAGAGGACAGGGACGGAAGTGAAAAGAAGGTACCTGGACTGGCGTGCGCTTATGAAGAGAAAGAGGATGAAGGCAAACATTAAGCTGGTTGGGTCAGGGTTTCCCCTTCCCACCTCCGATTTAGATGACTCTCTTACTGAGGACATTGATGAAAAGATTGCCTTCCGAAATGATGCAAATTTTGACTGGCAAAATGTGGCAGATTTCAGAGATGCAGGTGGATCCTTAACAGAGGTCAAAGTGGAAGAGGAAGAACGGGATCCCCAGAGTCCTGAAGTAAGTATTAACCTGTGAGCCTCTTTATGTTTTTTAGTTATAATCCAGGAGTGGTTAAATTCTCAGACTTTCTTTCTTGCTTCCATACAAGGTCATTCCATTTGTTTTCTCTTTATGTCATTAATATTTTTCTTCCCATCTGAAAACAACCTTGAGTTTAAATCGCTTTACTCTTTTCTCTCAGTTTGAAATTGAGGAGGAAGAGGAAATGTTGTCTTCTGTCATACCAGAGTCCAGGAGGGAAAATGAACTTCCTGATTTCCCCCACATTGATGAGTTTTTTACCCTGAACTCGACACCATCTAGACCTGCATATGATGAACCCCATTTGCTTGTAAACATAGAGAAACAGAAACTAGAACTGGAAAAACGACGACTGGATATTGAGGCTGAACGACTGCAGGTGGAAAAGGAACGCCTGCAGATTGAAAAGGAGAGGCTGCGGCATTTAGACATGGAGCACGAGCGGCTTCAGCTGGAGAAGGAGCGGCTGCAGATCGAAAGAGAGAAGCTGCGGTTGCAGATAGTCAATTCGGAGAAGCCATCTTTGGAAAATGAACTTGGCCAAGGGGAAAAGTCCGTACTTCAACCACAGGACATTGAAACAGAGAAATTGAAACTTGAGCGAGAACGCTTGCAACTGGAAAAGGATAGGCTGCAATTTTTGAAGTTTGAATCAGAGAAGCTGCAGATTGAGAAGGAGCGCTTACAAGTAGAGAAAGAGAGACTTCGGATTCAGAAGGAGGGACATTTACAGTGACCTTCTCAGGTCTCCTTTAGCAAATATTTCTAAATTGTAGGTTTTTCTCATACCAGGAGATAGAAAGATGGTTACTGGATTACCTGTTCTCCCCCCACTCCCTGTGTCTAATGTCAGTGTTTTCCATAGGAAAAAGATAATTATACGTGGGTAACTGTATGCTTCTGTAGTATATTATATATTAAAAAAAAAAAACCCTTTTGTGCCCCAGCATAAACAGTATAGCAGAAACTTACTGTGCTAGACTCTAAGTTAGGAATATTATAGTATTTGTGCACCCAGAGTTTACAATTATATCTATGTAAATTCTATCCCAGTGGTTCTCAACCAGGAGTGATTTGGGCCCCCAGAAAATGTTTGGAAATGTCAGGAGACATTTCTGGTTTTTAAAACTGGGGTAGAGGCAGGTTGATACTGGCATCTAGTGTGAAGAGGCCAGTGAAGTTCCTAAACGTCTTGTACACAGCACGTCTCCCTCACAGGAAAGAATTTCCCAACCCAAGATGTCATTAGTGCCAAATTTGAGAAACACTGTCCTTAGCCTAACTGCACCTCTATAGCTATGTTTTATAGTTTTAGAATATTAAAATTTCAGATATATATGTGGGTAGGTATTTAAATGGCTAGAAACTTTAAACTACGAAACACTGTAGTGTACTGAATATGGAAAGTGGTGAAAATTATAGATATTTTATTCCCATGTTTTCATCTTTAAACAGCTTTCTGAGGTTCAGAAAACGGTGTAGGGAACATCCAAAACTGCCTAAAATGATTCACTTTGAGAACCAGTTTGTTCATCTAGCTATGGATGATTTAGAAGCAGTATACGATTTTGAAGCTTTAGTTCCCTGTCTTTTTTGAATCCATTGTCTTAGTTTTAATACAAAAATTGTTATTTCAACCATGTAAGTGAGTCACTGAAGCTAGTGAAAGTGACACCAGTATAAAAATTGTACCAGTAGCCCATGAACTCAAACCTGAGTGAGTGAGTTACTTTTAAAATAAATAATAGCAGCTATTTTGGACTTTGGGGTGGGTCCGTATGTCCTCTGCATCAAATGATAATGATGTTAAAATGATCATCTCTGTAGCTGTGTTATGGATTGTTGGAAGCACTTAGCACACACAGTCTGACATGGAGTAATACATGAGAGTATTATCTTGTTATTCTTGTATTTTCTTTTTGCCCCCCCCCCCCCCCCCCTCGAGGAACAAAGTTTGTATCTTAAGTTGCTTTGGTGTTTATTCTGAAACCAAGGGCTTGCCTCACCTGGTGATTTGCCTCTTGTTCCCTGTTCTCAGCAATGCGGGTGATTCTGATGCATCCTCCAATTGACAGTGGCTGCACAAGACCATTTTCTGTTTTCTGATTTACAGGACTGATATGTAGCTTTAATAAATCTCTTCTCTTGAAAGATATTACTTTGATTCTACAGTGGTTCCTTTTTAATTTAAGAATGGCCTAAAATCACGTGTTGACATTTGAGTATACGTATGCAAGGGAAAAAATACACTTCTGCTTATTTACCCTGATGTTGAAATAGTGTTATTTTTCTATAACTGCAATAAATGCTTCTTCTGTAGAAATAAATTTGCCTGTCTGAAAGTTTATTTCATGTGATGCTCATTGTACTAAGTGTAGAGATTAACAAACCTGAGTCCTGTTTTGGTAAGTGGGGCAGGGGCTTAACATTTGTACTAGTATTCAGCTATGCATTAATACATTATTTTATTTATTCTTCGACATAATTCTTTTTTTTAAACAAAGTATATTCTTTTTATGCATTTTTTTTAAAAATATTTGAAAGGTAGAGTTATATATAGAGAGAAGAGACATAGAGAAAGGTCTTCCATCCACTGCTTCACTCCCCAGAGAGCTGCAACAGCTGGACCTGAGCCAGTTTGGAGCCAGGAGCTTCTTCCAAGGCTCCATGTGTGCAGGGGCCCAAGCACTTATGCTATTTTCGACTGCTTTCTCAGGCTATAAGTAGAGAGCTGGATTGGAAGAGGAGCAGCTGACACAAACTGTCATGGATATGGGATGCCAGTGCTGCAGGTGGGGGTTTATTCTAAGCCACAGCACTGGCCCCATCAATATAACTTGAGCTAAGCCATGTTATCCCCACCTTTTATAAGAAAGGAAACGGTGCCTCATCAATTTAATTAACTACCTGAAAAATACCACCCAAACATCAGCATTACCTGAAAAATACCACCCAAACATTAGCATAAGTGCTCAAAGGAGAAGTTGTAGTGGAAATTGATAGGTATAATTTTTTTTTTTTTTTGACTGAGTTAAGACAGAGAGAAAGGTCTTCCTTTTTCCATTGGTTCATCCCCCAAGTGGCCACTATGGCTGGCATGTTGCGGCTGGTGAGCTGCACCAATCCGAAGCCAGGAGCCAGGTGCTTCCTCCTGGTCTCCCATGCAGGTGCAGGGCCCAAGAACCTGGGCCATCCTCCACTGAACTCCTGGGCCACAGCAGAGAACTGGACTGGAAGAGGAGCAACCAGGACAGAACTGGCACCCCAACGGGGACTAGAACCCGGGATGCCTGCACCGCAGGCAGAGGATTAGCCTAGTGAGCTGCGGCGCCGGCTGATAGGTATAATTTTAAGTATTCTAGCTTTGCTATTTGCTGCTTGTCCGTCATTGAACTTGCCCTTCCACTTGAGTTCCTCACTTGTTAAATGGGATATTGGTACTTGCTATGCTAGTGCTCTCTAATTTGTTTTGTTTGGTGTCTTTAAAGAAAACGATGGTTATAAAGTATGTAAACTGTAAAATGTTACTTAATGCAATGTGATATTAGTGTCAGGTTTTAATTTCCTAGGCAAAGCATGAAAATAACCAATAATTAATTTTCTATAGAGCACTCTAAATTTCCTGGAAGAAACTAAAGAAAACAAGCCAAAAAAGAAGCATAATGTCTACTAGGGCTTTGGCTAAAGTGCCCTGGATTTCTCACACCTGTCCAGGGCAATAGGTTAGGTTGGTTCACTACTCTAAAAAACCACGTTGCTGCATTTCTGAGGTGGTAGGTTTCCTCAAATGAGTCATGTTAGCCATTGCTGTACGTAGAATAATCCCTCCAAAATTGGCTGGAATCCGCTGTTTACTGTGCCCATGCTTTTAAAAGAAATTAGGCTGCGCTTGATGGAACAGTTTTGATCTTGACTAGGTTCTTATGGTCTATCTGCTGGCTGGCAAGTTTGCGTAGCCTCTGAGGCTTATTTGGATATCAAGTGGATGAGCAGCAGGGCTGAACTTCCTCATGATACTTAAATCCTAGCCAGGCTGGGCAGTGTTTGACCTAATGTGGATGGCAGGACTCCAAGAGGTGCTCAAGCTGTCTTGAGGTCTGATCTTAACTGGTAATTATCACACTTTAGTACTGTGTGGCCCCAAACCAATCACCGGATAAAACCAGAGTGAAGGAGCCAGGGTAATAAAATCAACTTTTTGGTAGTAGGCGTTTTGAAGTTGTGTAATATAGGTATATAGGACAGCTTAGGAATTACAGCTGCTTTTATAATCTCTCTACCATGCCTCCATTCTGGTTGGACTGGGATACTCCTGATACTGGTCCTATTTGGTTTAACATTTGTCCAACACAAAAATGCCCTGACAGAATGCTGAATTACATAGTCACCTACTTCATGGAGAACACCTCCCCTTCTCTTTTGTAAAGCTGATTGAGAAGGAAGCCTCATAAATTTTCAGAAAAAAATAATACTCTCAGCCTTTTTCTTCTATATCAAATACCTTGTAATCAAAGAGTTCCTACTTTGCTGCTTTGTCTATTTTATATTACTTTCTTTCTCTTTGTTTTTCTGCCTCTTTGCCATCTGTATCTTATCCTATCTCTGTTCTTTGTTTTTTTGTTTTTAATCAAAATTATTTTACTGTGGTTTTTTTTTTTTTTTTAAGATTTTATTTATTTATTTGAGAGGTAGAGTTACAGACAGAGTTAATTCCCCAAATGGCCGCAACGGCTGGAACTGAACCAAACAAAAGTCAGGAGCCAGAACTTCTTCCAGGTCTCCCACGTGGATGCAGGGGCCCAAGCTCTTGGGCCATTCTACACTGCTTTCCCAGGCCATAGTAGAGAGCTGGATCAGAAGAGAAGCAGCCGGGACTAGAACCAGCGCCCATAGGGGATACCGGTGCTGCAGGCGGAGAATTAATCTGCACCACAGTGTCAACCCCTTACTGTGGTGTTCTTCATTTGCTTTAACGTTTTCCCAAAAGTACATTTAATTTTTAAAAATATTAATTTTAGGGAAGGGGAGCCTTCATTGTGGCACAGAAGATTAAGCCTCCCCCTGTGATGCTGGCATCCCAGATCAGAGTGTCAGTTCATGTCCCAGCTGCTCTGCTTCCCACCCAGCTTCCTGCTAATACACATAGGAAGACGATGGCCCAAGTACTTGGGCCCCCTGCCACCCATGTGGGAAACCTGCCTGTTACTGCCATTTGAGGAGTGAACTAGCAGATGAAAAATAATCCCTCTCTACCTCCTCTCTGTTGCTCTTTCAAATAAATCATTAAAAACACTTCTAGTACAGATTTTTTCCTCTGTTCTGTGCAGATATTTCACAGCCACCTGAAACTTAGTGCATCTAACAAACAATATTCCCAAATTTAGGAAAATAACTCACTTTTGTACCATAAAGGAAGAAATCTCCATTGTCTTGTTAATAAGTTTATTACTAATTCTTAGCATGGTTCCTAGCATGGAGGAGGTTATTTAATATTTTTAGCTGATCCATCTAAGAAGACACTGTAGTTTTTTTTTTTTTTTAATTTTTGACAGGCAGAGTGGACAGTGAGAGAGAGAGAGACAGAGAGAAAGGTCTTCCTTTGCCGTTGGTTCATCCTTCAGTGGCCGCCACGGCCGGCGCGCTGTGGCCGGTGCACCACGCTGATCCGATGGCAGGAGCCAGGTACTTCTCCTGGTCTCCCATGGGGTGCAGGGCCCAAGCACTTGGGCCATCCTCCACTGTACTCCCTGGCCACAGCAGAGAGCTGGCCTGGAAGAGGGGCACCGGGACAGAACCGGCACCCCGACCGGGACTAGAACCCGGTGTGCCGGCACCGCAAGGCGGAGGATTAGCCTAGTGAGCTGCGGCACCGGCCTGACACTGTAGTTTTTAATTTAATGCACTTCTGTTATTGAGAGTGTATTTAAACCATGGAGTTGGGGCTGGAGCTTTGGCGTAGCAGGTAAAGCCACCACGTGTAGTGCCAGCATCCCATATGGGCAGTGGTTCAAGTCCTGGCTGCTCCACTTCTGATCTAGCTTTCTGCTGTGGCCTGGGAAAGCAGTAGAAGATGGCCCAAGTCCTTGGGCCCCTGTACCCACATGGGAGACCCAAAAGAAGCTCCTGGCTCCTGGCTTTGGATCAGCGCAGCTCTGGCTGTTGCAGCCATCTGGGGAGTGAACCAGTGGATGGAAGACCTCTCTCTCTGCTTCTACCTCTCTGTAATTCCACCATTCAAATAAATAAATCCTCTAAAAAAATAAGTAAATAAACCATGGAGAAAGGACTCAGAACCCAGTGTCACAATTTTTTAAAAATTTTTTGCTTGTTTACTTGAGAGAGTTACAGAAAGAGGGAGAAAGAGAGGTCCTCTATCCTCTGGTTTACTCCCCAAAGGGCCACAAAGTCCAGAGCTTGGCCTATCTAAAGCCAGGAGCCTTATCTGGGTCTCCCATGTGGGTGCAGAGGCCCAAGCATCTGGAGCATCCTACACCACTTTTCCAGTGCACAGCAGAGAATTGGATAGGAAGAGGAGCATCCGGGACTCGAACCAGTGCCCATATAGGATGCCAGTGCTGCAGGGAGAGTGAAATGGCCTGGTGCTAGTTACATAATCTCTGTGTTTCAGTTTTCTCATCTGGGGTTATTATGGACACCAATCCAGTTATCACATGTAGGTACCTAATTCATTATTTTTAATGATTATATAATTGAATTTATTGATATTTATTAGAGAATTAAACTTTCTCTATTGCTAGGCATTTAGGAGTAGGAAAAGGAAGATTTCTATTTTAAGATAGAGCTAGTATAAAACAAACATCGAAATAAGTAAAGTTATTTATACAAAGTTAAGCTTGTATCTATAGTCCTGAAAATACAAACAGTATGTCAAAGTCCTAGAAGTAGTATTGAGGGATCATTTTAAATTTTAATTGATACTGCCAAGTGTTTGAAATTTATTCTCACTCTTGCTATATTGGCAGTCTTATATTTTTGTCACATTTTGTTGTATTTGCATCCTTTAATTATTAGACTAAGCACAATTTTGTGTTAATTGTCCAGCAAAATTATTTCTCATTTGAATTTGATTTTTTAATTGGAAGATTTTATATTTAAATTCTGTTTATTTATATAAATTATTTATATACTAGAGATTCCACCCAAAATGGCTGAAGCTGAGCTGAGAGACAAGGCTGGGAGCTGGGAATGCTATTCTGGTCTCCACATAGGTGGCAGGAATTCATCATCACTGCCCCCAGGGACTGCGTTAAAGGGAAGCTGCAGTCAGAAGGTGGAATCAGGTATTGAATCCTGGACACTGCATATG